TTTACGAAGGGAATGGGCCAACTTTTGCGTCTGGGGGCCCTCTTGGGACGCATGTTGGAGGCTTCTTGGGGCCTCTTGGGGGCGTCCTTGGACGTCTGGGGTCTCCTGGGGCCTCTTGAGGGGCCTCCTGGGGGCCTCCTGGCGGCCTCTTGGGGCGGAAGGCTCGAGCTTGCGGTTCGTGGTCCCCCTCTGGGCCCCCTCTTGGGCCCGTCTTGGGGCCCTCTTGGGCCATCTTGGGCGCCTCTTGGGCCGTCTTGGGGCCCTCTTGGGCTGTCCTGGGGCCCTCTTGGAAGCTTCTTGGGCCGTCTTGGGGCGGTCTTGGGCGCCTCTTGGGCCGTCCTGTAACGTCGGAAAGCCCAAAAGACAACTTTGTTGAAAATGTACGTTTTACGAAGGGAATGGGCCAACTTTTGCGTCTGGGGCCCTCTTGGGACGCATGTTGGAGGCTTCTTGGGGCCTCTTGGGGGCGTCCTTGGACGTCTGGGGTCTCCTGGGGCCTCTTGAGGGGCCTCCTGGGGGCCTCCTGGCGGCCTCTTGGGGCGGAAGGCTCGAGCTTGCGGTTCGTGGTCCCCCTCTGGGCCCCCTCTTGGGCCCGTCTTGGGGCCCTCTTGGGCCATCTTGGGCGCCTCTTGGGCCGTCTTGGGGCCCTCTTGGGCTGTCCTGGGGGCTTCTTGGGCCGTCTTGGGGCGGTCTTGGGCGCCTCGTGGGCCGTCCTGTAACGTCGGAAAGCCCAAAAGACAACTTTGTTGAAAAATGTACGTTTTACGAAGGGAATGGGCCAATTTTTGCGTCTAGGGGCCCTCTTGGGACGCATGTTGGAGGCTTCTTGGGGCCTCTTGGGGGCGTCCTTGGACGTCTGGAGGCCATCTTCAGCATCTCGGAGCCCTCTTGGAGGCCTCTTGGAAGTTTCTTGGGCCGTCTTGGGCGCTCCTGGGGCCGTCTTGTCTGACCAGGGAGGCCTCCGGCAAGCCCCGACGAGCCTCCGGGCCCCCCGGGGCGCACATTTGTGGTCGAGGTCCCGGCCCCGGGCCCCCGGACCCGGTGCGCCGTTATATGTATAAAATAGCAGGAAACACGGAAACTCATCACCTGACTGGTGTTCCTGAATTTTCTCCTGTAGAGGGGCATGCCCGACTTCATCTCTGACGTGTCGCCAGTTTGGGCCGCCGTGTGGCCCTCTCGGAGGCCACCGCGATCTGCCCACAAAGCCTCGGATGTGGGGGGAAAGTGTCGCCGCCGCCGTACTCGGCAACCGCCGTCGTCGGCGCCGGCACGAGCACACACAACCTGCGCAAGCAGACGCTTTCGGAGCTCCGACGGAAGTTCGAGGGCCCTGCGCTGGGGCCCCATGCCTGACGCGCAGGGCGGAACGGGGGCGTCTCCAGAGGCGCTGTTCAGGGGGCCCCGCGCAGGTCCGAGAGATCTGCCCGGAACTCCGATCATGTCTGTTCCTCTTCCTCGAGCCAGACACGTGCAGAACTGCACGGCTCGAGCGCGCACCGCTGCAACTCCCGAGATTGCACCAGTGCAGTGCGGCTGGGGCTGGACTGTAGCTGGGCCTTTTCACCGGCGAAGTGGGCGTGGGCCCGATGGCATGTATACGGCATCTCAACTTCAACCAAGAAAACTTGTCTGGGTGTTCGGCGGCGAGCCCCGAGCCGGGGGAGAATGAGAAGGGGCGGGCCTTCTGAGACGGATCGGATGCCCCTCGGCCTTCTGAGAAGTTTTCTGAGCCTTCCCCGAAGACACACAAACTCTCCCAGAAGACGCGAAGGCGTCTGAGAAATCCCGCCGCCTTCTGAGAAGGCCTTTTTTTTACTTCCGCTCCTCGCTCGCCGCCGGTATACTTAGGTCGGGCATGTCCTCCTACAGGGGGCTCTACGACGAAAAATGAAAAATAGTGACAACAATATCCTCAAAAAGCTTAACCCCCCCCCCCAAAAAAAAAACAATTAAACATCGTCCCATGACTATGTTTTGCCTACTTTTGAATTTTCCTCCTGTAGAGGGACAGGCCCCACTTGACAATGTACGCGTGGCGGGCAGCCAGAGGATCTGAACTGGGCGGGGCTCCAAGAAATCGATCAAGGGGGCGGGCAAGGCCACATCACCTCAAAATCTTTCTCAGGACCCCATCCCAGGGTCCATCCGGTGCGTCAGGGGCCCAGGGCCACACAAATCAACGCACACCAAACCCCAGGATCCCCAATATTCGTCAATATTTTCATGAGTTTTGTCTTACCTCCACTTCGCGTGTTTTCCAATATGTTCATACGAAATGGACGATTCTTTGTGTCTGCGTCGATTTCCCCCTCCTGCATGCAATTTATCACCCTGAATCCGCTTTTGATAATCCTGCAGGGCCAGAAGACGGCCCTCGGAGGCCGAAAAGGCAAACCACCTTCTCGAACCCAGAACCTCGAACCCTGGCCCCCCCCCGTCCTGCTCGCCGGGACCAGTGCTGGACCAACTGAGACCCCCAGCCAGCTCGGAATGTTTACCCCATGGACAAACAGGAGCTCCGAAAATCATGTATATGGTCCAGGGTCTGGGCTCCCCCCCTTCATGCTGATGCCATTGGGCTCCCCCCCCCCGCGATGGGACCCCTCCCTGTGGGGTTGGTGTGGTGGGACCTTCCCCTGTGGGCGTGCGATGGTGGGCATGGGGTCTGGCCCTCCCCCTCTCCCTCCTGTGGGTGCGGGGTGGTGGGTGGTAGTGATGGTGGTGGTCAGGCCCGCCTACATAGGAGGAGGAGGAGGAAGATGAGGAGGACGAGGAGGAGGACGACGACGAGGTCAGCGTCGCCGTCGCCGTCCGCCCCCGTCCCAGGCATGACCAGGAAGACAAAGTGTCTTCCCCGTCGTCGCCTCCCTCTGGGTGTGGCGTGGTGTTGTGGTGCTGGACGTTTTTTTTTTTGGACCCAAAGGGCTCAGGAGGCTCCAGGGGTCCCAGTTGAAGGCGGTCGACTCCTTGGTCGAGCAGTCCGAGGACACCGTGGCGAGGGGGGGGGCCCACTGTCCGTGGGGAGCGCCTGCCTGCCGAATGGCAAGCAGGGCAAGAGACAGCCGCGTTCCCCCACGCGGAGCCGTTGTGGTGCTGGACGGTGTCTTTGTCTTCGTCGTCGTCGTCGTCGTCCCTCCCAAAATCCCATCGGGGGGGGGGGGGGCCGAGTGACCGGACGCCCGAGTTATCCGGGGTAACTCGGGTCCGGGGTAACTCGGGTTTGGGGTCCCGAAACACGAACCCGAGTTAGCCCTGACCCGAGTTATCCCTGATGATTCGGGGCTCTTGGACGCCCGATCCATCCGGGGTAACTCGGGTCCGGGGTAACTCGGGTTCGGATTCCCGAAAAAGGAACCCGAGTTATCCCTGACCCGAGTTACCCCTGATGATTCGGGGCTCTGAACGGTGTCTTTGTCTTTGTCGTCGTCGTCGTCGTCGTCCCTCCAAAAATCCCATCTGGGGGGGGGGCCGAGTGACCCCGAGACCCGTCCCAGCGGGGGGGCGGCCCGTGGGCCCAAAGCCCAGGATCATCTAGGGCTCCCAACTTCGCGCTTCGCGCTGCGCGAAGCGCGAAGCGCGAATAACTTCGCGCTCTCGCGCCGCCCTCCCAAAGGGAGAATAGGAGGACGAGGAGGAGGGGGAGAAGGAACGAGGACCGCGAAGCGCGAAGCGCGAATAACTTCGCGCCCTCGAGGGAGCCCTTGATCATTGAAGGGAAACTGGGACACACAAAGAAATACACACACATAAAAATAGTCCCCATATCTTCCCATGTTTTCGGGGTTTTTGTCTTCCCCCCCACTTCCCATAGTTTCCCACATTTTCGGGGACATCGACGATTAGTTGTGCCTGTGTGTTTTTTTCCCTCCTGGATCATGTGTGCAGCTTGTTCTTCCTCGAGCCCGCAAGGAGCCTCAAAGCTGCCGCCAAAGAGAAGCTCCCGAGAGGCATCCCAAGCGTTGGGAATCCCAAGCCGTGCGGTGACAGACCGTGCGGTGACCTCGGAACCCCAAGAGACCTCACCGCACGGTCCGTCACCGCACGGTCTTGGGACCCTGGAGGCCCCTCTCGCCCGAGACATTCTCCGAGAGAGACTCGAGTCCCAAAACAGAGCGGTGACCCCGAATCCCCACCGACGCACCACACGGAGCGGTCACCACCCTGTTTTGAGGCCCCCGAAACCCTAAGAAGCATCCGGGAAAATTCTGACCCAAAACCCAGGCACGGTGGCGGGCTGGGCCGAGGGCCAGTAGACATGTCATTTCTTCGTCCTCGAGCCATCGGCGGTGGCGGCGGCGTCGACATCTGCGGGCAAGATTTATATCCAATTCCACTGCGTCTTGGAGCTTCGGGCTCCCTGCCCAAGAAACCCGAGGCGCAGTGGAGAGGAACAGAAATCTGGCCCCATGGAGGCTCGATCGTTACACCAGTCAGCTGCTCCTCGGCCTTTTTGCGCCCCTTCCCAGAAAGTCCACGACGCTGTCGATGTGGACGTAAATCTTGCACGCGACGTCGGCGGCGCCGGCGGCCCCCAAAGGAACGATGAATGAGGAAAGAAGTGCCCTTTTTGCCTCAAAAGCGCCTGCGCGCACGAGGAGGGCCAGAGAAACAACCATGGAGGGACCAGAGGAACATCGAGCCCCTTCCGAACCCAAACTGTTCCCTATCTCAGCGCTTCGACTGTATGCCGCTCCATCTTCCTCGAGCCATGGGTGCCGGCGCCGTCGCCGACGTCGGCGCTGTGGATGGCGTGGTCGTCGACGTCGGGGGTGTCGGCGCGTCGTCGGCGTCGTCGGCGTCAGCGACACGGTCAACAGCGGTGGCGCAGTCGACGTCGGCTGCGTCGTAGACGTCGTCGTCGGCGTCGACGACGTCGGCGGCGGGCGGCGTCGGCTGCGTCGTCGACGTCGTCAACGTCGGCAACGTCGGTGCCGTCGTCGACGTCGGCGGCGTCGTCGGCGCGGTCGTCGCCGACGGCGGCGAGCTCTGAAGCGCGCCTGCGGCTGGGCGGCGCCGCGCGGGCCCTGCCGCGGCTCCTCCTGGGCGGCGCTCCGCAGGGTGGCGCCCGGCTTCCAAGAGAGGAGGCGGGCCCGTGAAGGGTGCTGCAAATGGAGAGGGACCCAGACGTGCAACGTCCTGGAGAACTCCAGGCGAAGCGACACGTCGAGCCTTCCGCCCCAAGAGGGCCCCTGGAGGCCGGAGAAGCCCAGAAGAGCCCCGAGAGCACTCCCAAGACAACCCTGAGAGCGTACAATTCATGATTTCGCTGGAGATGCTGAACGTGTTTCGTCGTCGCCGTAGTCTTAATCTTAGTCGTAGTCTTAGTCGCAGTCGTAATCTTAGTCTTAGTCGTCGTCGTTCAAGGTCGGCGGCATCGGCCGCAAGGCATTCACAATCAGGACCGAGGTTGTTTGTACGTTTTCTGGTTCTGGGGGCCATCACCGGACCCCGCGACCAAAACCAAAAGACTCGGGTTGGACAACCGGCCCTGTAGGGAAAACGTCAGGGCATCCGGGGACCGCATGCTACAAAACTCAGGACTTCGCGTGTCTGGGGAGAAAACTGCATACACATGAACTGTCGGAAGTCCGTACGGATTTCTGAGATCGTCGCTGGGGTCCCCTGGGGGATCTGGCGCCGATCCATGAAATCTGCGCGGTGCTCCAGCAGTTTATGCAAAAAGATGTTCATGCCGGGGTGCTTCTCCTTCTTCGAACAAGGGGCAGGCCCGAGATGGGTCGAATCGCGGAAACGTCCCGCATCGGATCGAGGTTGGATCGCTCTGACTGGCCCCGGCCGACGCCGGTGAATCGAGCCGAGCCGAATCGGGCTGGATGGTGGCCCCGGACGGCGAATAGAATTGCATCGAACCAGATCGTAAGGCGGCCCTGTGAGGTGGCCCTAGCGTTCCCAGGGAGGCACAGGTGGCTTCTACGGCGTCCCTCGCGAGGCCGCAAAGGACCCTGGCGACTCCAAACTGGCGTGGGCAGCTGGAGACCCCTTGGGCCAGGATCAGCTCTAATCCGCCACCGTACCCTTGAGGCACGAGTTGGAGCAGCCTCAGGTCCTTGGCCTAGTCCCTTGAGCCTGAATCTTCAATCTGAGGAACCCTCAGTCCTCGATCTGAGGATTCAAGGAACCCAGAACCGAAATCCCACAAGCCCTTTAGGGCGTGAGTGGTTAAGGGAATTTCCTCTTCCAACACCCTTCTTCCCCTTCGGGGAGGGGTTTATCCCTGTTCCCTAGAAATAACAGCCCCTGCCCCTGGCGACCGGCAGCCAGTCAGGACCAATGCGAACACCCCCCCACCATCGCTGTCAAACACAACACGCAAACACTTTGGGCAAAAATCTTGGGTCATGCTCGTGGGCCCCACGCGCACTTTGTTTCGTTTTGTTGACAGGCAAATTCTGCGGAAGTCGAGAACGCTCCCCTGCTCGACGTTTTGCAAGTTGTGAGTGCCCACAACAGCGAGGGGCCGGTTTTGGCACCAGAGATCCCGAGGGACCTCGCAGGCACTCTTACGAAATACGAGCCAGATATTGCTAGGAGGATGGCGCCGACTAAAACTAACGGCCCAGGCGGCATGATCGGAGAGCGGTGAAGCACTACTGGACAAAGGGAGAAACCGCAGACTCGAGAGGACCATGGAACGCCAGAGGAGCCCTTCCCAGAGGCGGCGCAGGTGTGCCCCCAGGCAGCAGCCAAAAGCACAGCCGCGCGGCAAGGACCCGTACGCTTTCGACCAGTCGGGGAACCCCATCCGCAGGATCAGCACTTTCGGCAAGGACGGCCAGCAGAAGATGTGCGGGGCTCGGACATTCGCCAAGGTGTGTCCTTCTCAGTCCAGTTGCCCGCAGCGGGCCATCCACGGCTGTGGTGCTCTCTGGTAATCGATCAGGGCCCTTCTCTCCCAGCCGACCTCGGACACCTGGCACAGCCACCATCGCCAGACGTTGAAGAAGTATCATCTGCAGCATCTACCGAAGCCAATCTAGGTTGGCCACGCACGCAGACGACATCGACTCAATTTGCGCAAGAAGAGCCCGAGGCACACTGTACCGTCGGAGGTGTTGCTGCCCAGCGTTCTCAACCTGGCGGATGCTGTTTCGAGGTGCGCGTTCCTTTGCTCAGGACGGCTGGGTGGGTTATTGCGGTTGTCATCTATAGCCAGGACCCTCTCTATGGGCCTCATGGGGGGGTCCCTCTAGCTGAAACCCCAAACAAACCTGCCAGGAACGGAGAAGACCATGCAGTTCGGCAGCTATACCACATGCCATTATCGAAAGATTGCAGGTGCGCGTTGGCTGCCAACGACAAACACGCCAGGTGATATACATGGTCCGAGGTGCAAGAGGCCTGGAAGGGGCCAGGTTCGTCCAGGCGGATGCGAACCAGCCCCAAAGAGCTGCTCAAAAAAAGGGCTGACCACCCACCAGCAACCCTGTGGCAACAAGCGCGCTGATCGCTTAGCATAGCTATGCGTCGGTTGGAACACGTAGGTAAAATCATGAAGTAGGCAGGCGGATAAAGTAATTAGATTGGGTTAGAGAATAACAAAAATCGTCGGCAGCGAGGCGGGACGACCCGCTCCAGCGTGGCAGCGACGCATGGACACTGCAAAGCGAATTGGCCGGCATGCAGGAGGAGGGAAAAGGAAAGCGAAAGGCGGCCGCGGGGAAGGAGGGAAAGGCGAGCACTCAGAAACGGAAAACTTCCGCGGGCGGCCGGGGCGGCCCGCGGGCAGCCGGGGCGGGGACGGCGTCCGGGGGGCCGCGGGCAGCCGGGGCGGGGACGGCGTCCGGGGGCCGGAGCGCCAACCAGGCAGACCGCGTCAGCAGGCGCGGTGCGCTGGGCAAGGGGAAACAGCATTCGCGTCCACTCGCCATCGCTCGGACGTCCATTCCCTGTGTTTTTTTCTGTTGGCTTCGTGCGAGTAGTTTTCACCAGATGATCAAGGATGCTCCTCGATGGCCCTCGCCGAAGGAAACCATGCGCACGTCCGAGCGATGCCACGGTCCAGGGATGGCCTAAAAGCAGTACACCCTGCGAGATGCTTAAGAAATCATGGGTTAAGAAATTCACAGTCTCAGAACTTGAATAAAAAACCCAACATTTCTATTAAATCTTAAGATTTACATTGAAATGTTAAGAATAGTCGAGACTCTGGCCGAAAACTTAAGTTTTCTTAAGCATCGCCTAAGGTGTACGCTTCTCTGTGCCGTGCCGCCTGGGGGCCGGCGGCCGGCGCGGGGCGCCCTGTGGGGCGGGAGGCGCGGGCAGCGGGCAGGGGCGCCGGCTCCGAAGCATGTGCGCTGCGACGGCAGTGCTTCGGCAGTGGCAGGGCACAGCAGAAGCGTGTCGATCCCTGAAGCAGGAAGGCGCCTGAAGTAGCAACGATGACTACCTACCAGACCACCCCAACCCAACCCGAAGACCCGATTTTCGGGTTGGGGGGGGGTAAGGGTTCCACGCGTGTTTTTTCGAGGTTTCCCGACCCCCCCCCAACTAGAAATCGAGGGTAAATCTGAACCTTCGGGTTGGGTTGGGGTGGTTTGGTGGGTGGTGACGACCGGCGTGTGGGTTCTGGCCCCCCCCCTGCCCTTGAACAGGGACGACCGTCGCGGCATCCCTGTAGTCCTACCACGACATGTTCCCAGATCCCACAAATGTTCTAAGAACGAAAGCAGTGTTCTCAGAACATGAACCCGATGTGATAAAACAAGACAGGCTCCGCCAGAAATGTTCTAAGAACATTTCGTGGAAACCACAAAAGGTTCTTAGAACATTGCTTGGTAGGGCTATTGGCGAGCCAGGACGCTTCGCCTCTGCTTGAAGCCCAGCTGTTGGTCGTGGGGGGTGGTGCGCGTCGTTGGCTCTCGGGCGGCGGCCCGTGCGGCGACCCTCCCGGCAGCCAATGGCCAGCGGAGGGCGGTGGTCCGGCCACGACGGTTTGGAACGGCTCCCAGCGGTCCCTCTTGAGGTCATCCCGCGGCCCGCGATCCCCTCTGCTCGCCATCGCTCGGACGTCTATTCCCCGTGCATGGTTCGGTGTCGTGCTTGCTTGTTTTTGGCCAGATGGTCCAGGATGCTCCTCGAAGGTCCCCGCCGACAACAAAATCACACGTCCGAGCTACGTCAAGTCTCGGTCGCTCTCCCTCGTGGGCCCCATGGACCTTCTGCCTCCTCTGGGGAGCCCCCCCGAGGCCCCGCCCGACCAGGAGAAACCCAGGGAAACCTGAACTTTTAGAGGTCTTCGCCCGTGGTGGGCATAGGTCTTCAGGGCGGAGGATTTCATTTCAGCCGACTCCTTCCTCAGTTGTTCTTCCTGTGGGAGCAACTCGACGGAGAGCGAGGGGGGGGGAGTGAGAAGGGGTGGGTCTTCTCAGAAGGCTCGGAAGTCACCCGAAGACACAGAAAGCCTCTCAGAAGGCGCGATGGTTTCTGGAAAGCCCCGCCGCCTTCTGAAAAGGCCTTTTCCTGTTCATTTCCACCCTTTCGTCGCCGCCGACCATCCGTTTCCCCTGCGGGAGCTGTGCCCGCGGCTCCAGCAAGATGCCCGCCAGATGGGTGAGTTCACGAACAGTGCGCTGGCAGACCCAGCAGAGGCCGCGGCGCTTCGCAGGGCAACCAATTGTCTCGCACTGTCTAAACAGAGTGATCGAACTGGCCGCCAAAGAAATGGAGCGCCGGACTTCGACCGTGGAGCCCAAGCAGCGAATTGAAGCCCTTTGGGCGGAGGCAGCAGACTCGGAAAATGGCGGGGGCCACGGCTTCGGGGTCGTTCAGAGCGGCGCACTGCGGTAAACTCCCCCAGGGCTGTCGTTCAGCGCGAGGGGGCCATGGCGTCCAGGATGGCCTGCCAGCGGGCCTGAGGCCAGGTGGTAACCCGAAAGCAACGCGAGGTGCATCTTGAGGGCTCCCCACTCTGGCAAGCACACCACGCGGCGCCTTGAAACGCCAAACAACAGACTGAACAGCAGCACGACCAGGCCCAGCTTGTCGAAGGGTTCCCACCTGCTCCAGATGATCTGCTAAACGTAGCGGCTGTCGAAACGGCTGTCCCACATAAAGAGAGATCCGCGCTTCTCGCAAAGCACCTTTCAACCACAATCTCGACGGATAACATCCGCATTCTGCCTGTCCGCGCAACTTGGGGGGGGGCGCGATCACGCAGTGACCATCAATATGTTCACGGGGTGAAGCGCTCTTAGGGCCCGGCGTTCTTGAATACACATCATGCACCACGGGAGGTGTCTGAGGAACTCTGGCCAACCCCTCGGCGAGACCACTGTCACATTCCAGCTCAGAAGGCACGACTGGTCAAGCATTGCTCGCTGTCGCCAGTTCCTCTGCGCCCTCGCGAGATCCTGTCACGGCGTCGCCTTGGACAGGATCTCTTGCGCGTGCGAGTCGAGCTTGAGGTCCAGGCGAATGTCGGCAAGCAGTGCCGTCGCCGTCGGGCACACCGTCATGAGGTGTGCCTCGCGGTCCGACTGCTTGGGCCTCTCTGGCGGCCGTTGCCAGGCAGTGCGCTGGGGGGGAAGATCACCTCGCCCTGTCATTCGCAATGTCGAAAGCGGGGCCAGAAGTTCCCGGCTGATGGTTGGGGATGGCGATGGCCAGCTGCTCCTTCAGAGTTCGCGCTGCCTCCACCTACTGCGTGCTGACCCCGAGCTCCTGGCCGACGCTATCGATATTGTGCCACGAGGTCTGGCGCGATGGGTCACGGCGCTGGCCACCGTCGAACTCCGGGCCTTTGATTGCTTTCAACACGGTCCACATCTCGTCCGAAGAAACATTACGAATCTTGAGACGTTTGAAGTAGCTTCCAGTACCCGCTATCCTGTCGTAGGCGACGGCCCTCGTCTTGAGCTCCTGCTTCAAGGGCTCAAACAAGACATCTGGGGACTCGCACGTCCAGCCTCCTACGCACAACCCCGCGGCGGCTCACTGGAATGAGCGCTTCCGTCGAGGTTGTCGATTGCGCCGCGGGCAACGCCGTCGGCAACGGTGCGTGCAGGTGGGGCCCCTCCGCCTCGACGTGCTTCCATCCCCGCACGTCGCCTTTCGAAGTCCTGCTGTTGTATGCGAAACTCCTCCTGCTTGGCCTTCCCCTGAGAGGCGTCCTTCGTCGCGCCGTCCGCATGCTCCGTCAAAATCTCAACCTGAGCTCTTTGCCGAGCGGTCGCATCCTTGACCATCCCGCCCACGGCCTTGAGGAGGCGCGCCTGGGCGTCGTCCAAGCCGCGCTCCGGCGCGCGGGCGACGGCGTATGACTCCGCGATCCGCGGCTGAGAGGCTGCGACTTTGCGGCGCTGCCTCCGCTCTGCGCGGAACGATCTGGGCCCTACTCCTCTTGAGCAGGGACTGACCGTCCCGGCATTCCTATAGGCCTACCACGACATGTTCTTAGAACCCAATAGCGTTCGAATGAACAAATTATCCCAGTGCGACCCTACCTAGGAGTTGGAACCCCTAGGAAAGCAGCATTAGTAGTAACAGTAACGCTAAGCTAAAGCTAAGCTAAAGCTAAGCTAAAGCTAAGCCACAGCTAAGCTAAAGTTAAGCTAAAGCTAAGCTAAAGCTAAGCTAAAGCTAAGCTAAAGCTAAGCTAAAGCTAAGCTAAAGCTAAGATAAAGCTGAGCAACAGCTAAGCTAAAGCTGAGCTACAGCTAAGCTAAAGCTAAGCTAACGCTAAGGTAAAGCTAAGCTAAAGCTAAGCTAAAGCTAAGCTAAAGCTAAGCTAAAGCTAAGCTAAAGCTAAAGCTAAGCTACAGCTAAGCTAAAGCTTCGCTAAAGCTAAGCTAAACGCTAAGCTAAACGCTAAGCGAAACGCTAAGCGAAAAGCTAAGCTAAAGCTAAGCTACAGCTAAGCTACAGCTAAGCTAAAGCTAAGCTAAAGCTAAGCTAAAGCTAAAGCTAAAGCGAAAGCTAAAGCTCCCAGGGGACCGGGGGAACCGCCCGGGGCGCTTTGCACTGCCCGGCCCCTTTAAGCTAAGAGAGTAAGAACCCTTCTAGGCAGAGCCTAGGTAGGGGACAAAATACTCTTAGAACATGACTTACCCCCATGTGTTCGAACAAGACCATGTCGGCCAAAGATGTTCTGTGAACATTTCGTGCACACCACAAAAGGTTATCAGAACATTATCTGGTGCGCCGACAGGCCGGCCAGGACGCTTCGCCACTGCTTGATCCTCTCCGCGACTACCCGCCATCACCAGACAAAACCATCGGCCCCCTGAAGACGGGGCCCGCGCCTCCGGCCGGGACCTGAGCCTCGGGAGCAGACGCGGCGCAGGGGAGCATGGCGCATCAGGTAAGAGAACGGCGAGAGACAGGAAGGACTGTAGCGTTAGGTCGAGCATGCCCCCCTGCAAGGGGGGTCTTGGACGACGAACAATCATCGGGGAGACGTAAGACCCGGGTACGGGGGACTCGGAAATCCCCGACGAGGTCGTCAAAAAAATGACGAGGCCGAGCCTGCATTTTGACGAGGCCTCCCGCTGCAGACATCCCACAAAACTCCTCCTCGTCAAAATCCGAGTCGCGGTCGTCAAAAAACGATGGCGAACCCGAGTCCCGGCAAACCCGGGTCCCCCCCGTCGCTGAGCATGTGCGGCATGTCATGTCCCAGGTCCCTGGCCGTTCCATTTTTCGGTGTATGTATTATAAGATTGGAGCCAAGACCAACCGTCGTATTGATCTTCTCCGCTCCCTCTGCTGCTCCGCTCGCCTTCGGGCCACTGAGGGTACGCCTGTACCCGTGCCTGCGCAGCCTCAAGGGGGGGTTGGCGATCACCTCACTCCCGAAGTGCCGTGAGTCAACTCCGCGCTCGGGAGCGCCGGGGAGCGCCAGGGAGCGCCAGGTAGCGCGGGGGAGCGCCTGGGAGCGCCTGGGAGCGCCTGGGAGCGCCGGGGAGCGCCGGGGAACGCCTGGGAGCGCCTGGGAGCGCCTGGGAGCGCCAGGGAGCGCCTGGGAGCGCCAGGGAGCGCCTGGGAGCGCTTGGAGCCATTTGGGAATTTAGGGGTCCCTGGGGCCTCCGACGGAGCCGAGGGGTGTGACCTCCCAGCTCGGTCGGGGAGTCCTGGCAGCGGGGGCCTCGGACCCGACCACGGAGGGGTGCACTCTGGGGCCGAGGCTGCTCACGCTGGGAGAGGCACTGGCAGCCTCGCTGCTCCCTCTTCCATCCTCCCTCCTCCCTCCCTCCCTCCCTCCTCCCTCCTCCCTCCTGATTCCCTTCTCCTTCCTCCCTCCTCCCTCCTCCCTCCCTCCTCCATCCTCCCTCCCTCCTCCCTCCTCCCTCCTCCTTCCTCCCTCCTCCATCCTCCACCCTCCCTCCTCCCTGCTCCCGTTTTCGTTGACGTGTCGGATCTGTCTCGGTCCGCGTGTCGTCCGCGTCGTTCGTTGAGTTCGTCGTCCTCTCGTTCGGACGGTGGTGGTCGTAGGGTTCGGCCCCGTGTCACCTTTGACCCCATAGAGTTGGTCAAGACACCTGACCAGGGTAGGCTGGACGGGGCCATCCACGTCCTTGGCTCTGCCGAGCCTGAAGGCTCCTGTCACCCTGATAAGAGACGATGCATAGGAAGCAAGGGGCTTAACTCTAGACCCACCCTTGCTTCCAGCACGGTCCCCCGCTGTGCCGTGCCGAGTACGGGCCCCGTCCCCGCGGACGCTGCCAGGGGCCGTCGGCTCTGGGTGGCGCCCTCCCAGGTGGTGTTGTGTGTGTGTCCTGCGGGTTTTTCACAGCAGGCACGGCGGGGCACCTCCTGGTGGACTGTGTATCGTGCCAGCCTGGCCACTCGCCCTCTGAGAGGGCCAAGCGAAACCGTAAGCAGTTTCTCGCTGGGTTTCACCCAGCCGACGAGGGCCGCTCGGATTCCAGGCGGATGCAGGCGCCGCGGCCCCTCTTGGGCGGCTCCGACCCCGAGGTCCATTGGGTCAGGCTTCGTCGTTTCTCGCGGGTTGAGGGGGAGCAAGGCAGCACAGTTGAGCACCACTGGGTGC